ATTAATAACAGCGATTGCCTTAGCCGATACCTAACACAGACGGGGTCTTGGTGGCTGCCAGCTCCGGGACTTCTCCACGTCAAGCCTGCAGCTGAGGGGCACCCCGGGAGGAGGGGGGCGTTTCATGTGAAACCAGAGGTTCTTATAAACACGGAAGTGTGAGGTCCAGTGATACCATCGAATCCTTTAATTTTACAAGTGAGGACTAAGTCAAACGACTTATCCCCAAGCCCCCAAACTCTCAGTAATGGCAGGGCAGGGGGGCTAGGACTCAGTGTCCCCAACACTGCGTTTGGGGTCTTTCTCCCAAAGCCCCCTCTAATAAAGCATCTGTGGGCCACAGAGCAGACGTGACCAGACCTGCCTTTAACGCGAGGTCTGAGGAACAGGCCCCTCTGCTCTGAGGGGAACGCTCCCCTGCACGTTGGGTGCTTGGGGAGGGTGCCTCACAGTGGCTGGCCAGCAGAAGTGACTCACTTCCGCTTTGGAAGAAAAATTTTTTTACAGAAGGCTAACACATCCGCTGGGCCAGGCCTAGACACCTGGACACTCACCCCCCCCTCCCCACATGACCCTCCACGAACAGGGAAAAGGAAGAAGCACTCTTTAGCTGATGGCCACAGACAGGTTCCCAGAGGCCAGGCGGCTGTGCTTCTGGGCCCCGCGCTCCGAGCCTGCCATTGCGACTCGTTAGGTTACCTTTCGCTGCAGCCAGAAGAGCCAGAGAGAGGCAGTAATTAATTAGAATGTGTAACAATGTAAAGATCACAAAAGAAATGCTGAGCACTGCTTTAGGAAAGCATTTCTCGGTGTAAGGGTATTAGCAATCAATTCTCCTTGAGCCTTCAGTCAGCAATAGGTAAAATGTCAGCGAGGGTGACGGTCACTTAATTGCCTGTGCGATTCACAGTGCCCGAGAATTGACAAGGCGGCTCGTTGTAGCCCATTACCGAAGTGTCAACAGTGATTATTGCCAATATAGTTTTACAAATGCCAATCGCAGGGCAGCTGTTTTCTTTCTGATGGGTCCCAGGGAGAAGGTCGTATGTTAAAAGGAATCTTCTTCTTGGGACCCTCGGACTCCGCCACACAGCCTTTACTTCCCCTAATAGCATCAGACGTGAGTTTTGAGAAGAACTGTGCAGGACGACGGACAAAATGCATATCTGTGTAAATCCCCAGGCCTCGCTTTCTCGGAAACATGGGCTTTTTAAAGAGTCAGGTCAGATCCCTCAGAAATCAAGTGAGTCCAGTTATGTTTTCTTTTACTTCCCCAGATTTCCCGCTGAGGAGCTTGCTTGCTGGCAGCACGCTAAGGCTGTCATTTGGTAAAAAGCAGTTCGCTCAGCTATAATTACTAATTTGATGTCACACTGGAATTGCAGCGCAGCTGTGAAAAGATCGACCACCAGGGAGATCCGCATTTCTCTGTCTCATTTAGAGGAGGCTACGCTGCTGGAGCTGTGAATGGGAGATGCCCTTCCATTAAAAAGGGAAGAATGAAAGAATAAAGCAAGTCATAGCAGCTGTCAGAATTTGAAAGCGGTTTTAAAAAAGAAGAAAAAAATGTCGTTCTACTCTTTTTCTTTTCTTTTTTTTAATTCAAGACATCTGTACACGCATGTTCTGATACTTGTTGCCATGAAAGTGATCCCATTTTTAGTTGGAATATAACTTCTTTATTTCCTTCAGTTTCGCCTTCATTATTATGCTAATGCAAATCATACTAATTACATGTCAAGCTGAAATCCAAGGGAAGGGGCTTGGCTGCGCTCTATCACTAAGTATCTGAAATGACAGTTGTAAAACTTGTCACCGCGTTAAAAGTATAGGGAATTAAAGCAGTTATAATGAGTCAAGTGAAGAAAAACAAAGAACCAGATTATGAGTTAAGCGATGTTGATGGAGATCCTCTATGAAAATTGTTCTCTGCACCAGGATAATCATTCTGTAGAGAACGTGGTTACACAGTGAGAGCAACGGAAGTAATATTCTTACAAATCATTCGGTTTCACGTAGAAAACAAATGTTTTTAGCCGTCTTCCAAATATTTCTAATTAAGGTAACAGTGATGACATTTAGTTTTATTTGTAAAGACAAAAAATAGCATGATTTCTGGACAAATAAAAAAAAGTAATGATCATGGAGAGAAAACTTGATCCTTGGTGCAAAAATCGGGGCCTGGGGGGTGGGACTTAAAAACCCAATGGGTTTATGTGTTCCGCTCCATTAATACATTTGTTTTTGTGTGTTGCAGTTGAGTCAATGTTACCTGCCATCTCCAAGAGACCTCCTCTCCTATTGCTGGCACTCCATCAATGACCAATTTTAATAACTCTCACATCCCGTATCTCCCAGAGATTATCTATTGCCCCTTCCCAGGGAGCACTTATGACCCAAGACAGAGGTGGTTTGAGGCACCTCTTCTTCTGCAAGAAGAGCTTTCATGAGTTCCAAGCCCAGAAAGTAAAGCTCGGTTCTTCCCCAGGCAACCGTGCAGGCGACTTTAATGTACACAGTGTAAGCTATAGGGACGTGGGACGCAGCTACAAACATGCCTGCTTTCCACAAATGGAGGAAATAGGAATGGGCTGTTTTGCCAGCAGGGTATGAAACCAAGTAATTTATTTCACTACTTTTTTATTGTTAAATCAAGACTCAGAATGTTCGTACCATATTTAACTCCAAAATAATCTTTTTGTTAGTGTAGTGAATATTTCTTTCTTCATCTTCATAATTTATAGGATTCATATGTATTAAATATATATATATATATATATATATATATATATATATATATATATATTGATTTTAGAGAGGAAGGGAGAGGGAGAGAGACATAGAAACATCAATGATGAGAGAGAATCATTGATTGGCTGCCTCCTGCACACCTCACACTGGGCATGTGCCACTGTTTTTGTTTCTTTGGCCAAAGCCGGTGCCTTCAGAGTGATTTACATGGAGGCTGGAAGTGTAAAAATATATTCACTAGTGTACAATAAACATACAAGTGGTCAGCGAAGGACCTACCATTTCATTTTCTCTTCTCTCTTCTTAACCCACTGCTATCTGGCTTCTGCTACACCCACCCATTGTCACTGACAAGGAAGGGTGCCAGGGAGTTCCCTGTTGACAAGTCCAATGGATAATAAATCACTCAGTCCTCGTCCTGCCTGACCTTGCAGAAGCCTCCGATACTGGAAAAGTTCTCTCCCTCTGGCTTCTGGGACAGTATTAAGAGAGCAGATTTCATGAGAGTGGGGGCAGTTTTCACTAAGGCACCTCTCAGAATGCTTGGCAAAATTACAGATGCTTAATAAATACTTGGAAAATGATCCAGACTTTCCTGGGTCATCTCCTATGTCTTTAGCTGATCTTTTGCAAGTCTCTCTTCCGTTACCCATCAGCCATAAATGATGATGTCCCCCTGAGCCTGCTCCAGACACGCTTCTCCTCCTGCTCCTTACACTCGTCCAGAGTGGCCTCATCAACTTCCCTGTCTGCTGATCATCCTTCCCATGAGGTTTCCCGGGCCATTTCTTCCCGTCAAAACTCTCTGCAGCCTCTCATGCCCATTGGACACCTCTGTTCTGATGCCACATGACATTTCAAACCACTCCTTCCACTCTGCTCCCTCTCCCAGACAGTGAAACCAACACCCAACTACCCAAACCAGATACTCGGGAGCTGCCCTTCATCCTGCTCTCCCTCCACACACGCTCCCTGGAACCATTCACCTCCCACATTCAATCTCTGGGTTCTTTTCCTAAATCGCTCCATAATCTATCATATTCCAATGTCCTAGCTCCGATCAACATCGCATCTGGGTTATTTCAACGGCCTTTCCACTGGTCCAGCTTACCGGCTGCATCTTACCCTCCAGCTAAAGCATCAAGCACACCCGCTCTGTGCTCAAGCACATGCTGCTCTGACGGCCTTTCCCTGGCTAGTTCCTACTTACACTTCAACTTCCTACACGCCACCTCTTCCAGAAAGCCTTTGTTGGCCCCACCACGCTGGGGTCAGGCGCTCTTGCTACATGCTTCCTGTGGAAGTACTTGTCACATGACACTGTTACCTCCTATGAAGACAGCTCCTGCTAGATGTAGCTGCACGGTTCATTATTTTAGCCCCTGAAGCTAGGATAGTAACCATGGAGACATTCACAAACCTTCTGAATGAACTAGGTTTCCACATCCATAAAACGCAAACAAAACTGAATTATATCATCCTCAAAGAATTTAATTTCAAAAACAAAAACCTGAGCCCCAGCTTTCAGATGGTTTATTTAAAAGAAAAGAAAAAGACACTTCTCAAGGTGAGGAATAATGACTGAGGGTATAGAGATGCCTATCATATAAGCAATGTCAATTTCAGTCAAAGCACTTTCCAAATTCTTAATCAAATTGACTGATGCTAAATCTGTCTACAATCTTGCATAATCAACTAAACGTATTTTAAATTTCCTACTTGTCCAGTGACTCAGGGAAACATAAAAAGACCAAGTCTCCTGCCTAATTCTTTAAGTGAAAAATACTTGAATCAAATCTTAGCATTTTACAGTTGGAAAGGAGCGTAAGGCTAATGGAAGCCAACATTTTACGGGTGAGAAACTGGGGCGCGCAGAGGCAGAGAAACTTGCTCGGTCACACCCGGCTACTCAGTGGTCACGTGTAGAGTTAGGACCCTGCTGCTGAGCTGTCCCTGCCGGGGTTGGTCATCAGTTACTGTGCAGGCGGCGGCGTTTTCAAGACCACATTACACGTGAACTGTTTCTTCCCCACTGCACCGAAACTAACAACCACTTCGTTATTCGGCCCAGGGGCATGGACAGCTGATCCGAGGAAGAGGGGTGAAGTGACACACTCCAGTTCCAAAATGTGCCTCTCTGGTGCACACAGGAAAAAAGCACGGCGGCGGAAGTCAGAGGAAGGATGAAAGGAGAGTCCTGTTCGAACCCGCCCCGAGGATCACAGCGAGGGGTACGGCAGGGCACTTACCTTTTCTTTGTCACTAGCTTCTCTCGCCACTGTGGAGCCCTGAAACACAAAGAAATAATAAAAGCTTGCACGTGAGAGGCCCTGCGTGTCACGCGTAAAATGTGCGAACGTCCCAGGGCAGAGCACGCCGATCCATGAGCGCGACTCTGCTTTGGAGCTCGTCCTGCGTGAGCTCTGGCCCCTGCCTGGCCACTGCCCTGCCTGGCCGGCACGTGTTCCCACCCACCGCCTCCGAGCCTCCCCCTGTCACGTCACCCGTGCTGCCTTCTCTCTGGTCCTAGTTTCCCTGCTGGAAATCGGGCGATCACTGGGACGGCCACTTTCTAAACTCTGGATGGGAACCACACTGTCCTTTTTGCATCAGCGGCCAGAAATGGCTGGTGTAATGCTATTCAAAGGTGAAGCGGGCCACCTGCTGGCCGCAGGGACTGCTGGGGCATCAAATGCCTCTCATCCCGCATCACATCTTCCAGATGTAGGCCCACCCTGCCCTCGTCCTCTCACTGCCTCGCTCCCGTTTTAGTTACTGACTGACGATCACGCTCTCCTCAGTTACTCTGAGTGGGACCCCTGTGGTGCTTTCTGCCGCCCTTCCCCTTGGAGGTCCCTTCACAACACCTTTACATGCTCCCCTTCTGGGCCAGGGGTCAGGGGTGGGCACAGAGCTATAAAGAGGAAGAAAACACAGCCCTTCATCTCAGCAATCTCCCCTCTGCTGCACTGGTTTCCAGACCGAAGCCTCAGGGCTGGGGGTGGTCCCGGACCACCGAGTCCATCTCAGATGCTTACAGGGGGCTTTGGGGTGGAGTTCCAGCGGAGGAACTTTCCTTTGTTTGTGGGAGATTTTAAAGTGAAAGAAAAGTTGGGAAACAAATGGCCAGTGAACTCCTAAGAAGAACTGCTTAAGCTTTGCGTTCCCCAGTGCCCACTGCGGTGTCCCACTCAGTAGTGCTCGGCGTTCACCAGTTCCCTCTCTCCCTTCCCCTCAGCACTGGACACCCCAACTACACAGGGTCAGGGAGCTGCTCGCTGGCCTGACTACCTCCTTCACAGCCACGTATTGCCCGGGAATACTTGCATTAGCCAATCATTAACAGACTTACATGTGACTGGGGGGGGTGGCGGTGTGGATTAAAGTAGCTTCTAGATGGGCTATTCTTTAAAAAAATCAAAACCTTTACTCCATGACCATCTCCCATTTAAGCCGCTCAGTCACTGGTGAGGATGTGTGTAATTCACAGGTGAGGAGGTGCAGTCTGTTTTGGGGAAGGGAGCGGAGACCAGGCTGGAGTCTCCCCCTGTCCAGACTTCCCCCGTCCATTCTCCTCCATCCTCCTGGTGCTCAGCACTCCCAGGCCTGCTGCCAGCCCAGGGAAAGTGCTCCAAGTTTCCTGGGGTATGCGGGGAGTGGGGGTGGGGGTGGGGGGAGAAGGCTGGGGGGGTGTGGGGGGGAAGGCACTGACCCACCAAATGAAGACGGGCAGTGAAGGAAAACCTGTGGCCTGTTCCACACCTCAGATCAGGCCCGCAGGGTGGGGTCCCAGCCATCACTTAACAACGGTCTGTATTTGTTCCTTCGGGGATCCTTGAATACGGACCACAAGTACCTTCCTTTGTTCACTGATTTCTAACAAAAAATGTCCCCAAATGGAAAAAAAAAATGGAGGGGGGCACTGCTTATGCTACTGGGTAGAGGAAAAAGGGATTTATTCCTTTTTGTATTTTTAACTGAGTTTTTGGTCAGTGTTTTTTCTTTTTCCCCTACAGGATATCCCTGTTCAGGATTCTCCGTGAGGCTTCATCTCTGTGTAAATGCAGATCGTTAGCCTGTAAAAATCTCATCCAAGTTTAAATGAACTCAAAATAAAAAAACTAAAACAAAAAATAGAAAAGGTCAGTAAGTTAAGGTCAAGAGTTAGAGCCATGAAATGATGTCAGATGTCCAGGTCCCATCACAATGGAAAGTACTGGCAAAACAGAACCATCCATTCCATAAGCTAAAAAGGGAGATGGAAGTTAAAACTACAATATCCAGTCCAAAGCAAGTTAAAACTACAATATCCAGTCTACAAATATAATTTACGTCAGAATATATTTACTAGATACACTATCTTAGACATTTCAGGGGAATAAAAAGCAAATAGGACAAAAAATTGGCCTTTAAGGTACTTACTGACTAGTAGAATGGGTAAGATAACCAAAATTCATTGACCAGTTCTGTATGCTATCCATCCTGCTGCACTTGACATGTACATATTTCATTTAATCCTCACAACAACCCATCAAAGGTAGGTAAAATTATCCCCACTTTACAGATGAAGAAATTGAGGCTTATAAAGGTTCAACAACTTGCACACAGCTGACAAGTGATAAAACCAGGACCTGTGGCTTTAGGTCACTCTGGCATCTCCCATGGGAGAGTCAGATCAGTGAACAGAGCTTTGTGACAGAGCTGGTGCCAAAGAGCCCGGTGTGGCGGCTGGAATTTCCACCAGGGGCAAAGGCAGTGAACAAAGTGGCTTTGACTTGAAGACAGGACAGACCGAGGCTATATTTGGGAAGCCTTATTTATTTGAACTCCAAGAAGATGGAAGATAAACCTAGACAATGTTCCCTTCCTTACACCAACATTTCTCAAAATGTGTGGTTCAGCACTCTGGGGTTCCAAGACTCTCTCGGGGGTCTGCAAAGTCAAAACTACCTTTATAATAACAATGAGATGTAGACAGAGCTTGGGAAGGCACACACGGGCATTCTGTAATTATTGTCAGCTGAACCCAGCTAAAGGCAAAGCCACGCCCTAGGAACACGCTTTGCCAAAGAGGCAAGGGTGTTATCAGCATTGACTCCTGTCCTTGCCCTGGTGTTGGGTAGTGTGCTTTGATATGGAAATCCAGTCTAACACTGGGAATGAGGGAATGAATAGGACCTGATCCTTTGATCCTAAGTTTCTGGTGAAACCCCCTGATATTTGAAATATAAATAAACACGCTGTATTGGCTCTGGGTCCCTGTCCCTCCACCAGTGAGGATGGTGGTCCCTGCTTCCAGCTTTTCCCTTCTATCTTCGTGTCTTGTCTCTTTCTTTCATTTATTTCTCAATCACCAGCTCCTCTCAGGAACTGGACCCGGGCTCTCTTTCTGTGCTGGATGTGAAAAGGATGAGAAACACCTACAAACGAATGTTATTTGTCTTGCTCACTGTCTTGATATTTGTGTGAATATTGCAAAAACAATGGTGGGTGAAACTGCTGACACCTTAGGACAAATCCAGCAGTGGTGCCAAATGGTACTAGTAGAGTTTGTCATAATATATCTGTATCTGTATCTGTATCTGTATCTGTGTCTGTGTCTGTGTCTGTGTCTGTGTCTGTGTCTGTGTCTGTGTCTGTGTCTGTGTCTGTCTCTAAATACACAAATGTCCTGAGGAAGCAATGAAATTCGTTTTTATTAAATCTTGTCCCTGGGGTATACATCTTTTTAATATTCTGTGTGCGAAGTATATATAAAGCACTTCTGCTTAAAAAAAATAAATGGTTTAAGAGCAGTCATTTTTGTGATGGTTTGAGTTATGAGTTGAACTAGTTTTTTATGAAACAACATGTTTAGTTGAAAGAACAGCTGACAATCTATATTTATTTATATCTGGATTTTGTCAGATATTTGTTCTAAGATAACTGAAGCTTCTGGGCTACAGGCTATGTGCAGGGGGACTGTGTGCTGCCACTTCACAGAGAACAACGAATAGGACTTTGTAGCCAGTGCTAAAATCTCAGCTTTTATGTAAAAACTAGAGGCCCAGTGCAGGGATTCATGCACTGGTGGGGTCCCTCAGCCTGGCCTGCGAGGATCAGGCCAAAACCGGCTCTCCAACATCCCCCGAGGTGTCCCAGATTGTGAGAGGGTGCAGGCCAGGCTGAGGGACGAATCCGTGCAACAGGCCTGTAGTATGCATATAAGATCTTTGGTTAATCTCTTCCTACCCTTTCCTCTTGCCTCTGAGATTTATCAGTCTGTTCCATGTTTCCTTGCCTGTGGTTTTTGCTCCTACGTTGAGCATCTGCCCCCTGGTGGTCAGTGCATGTCATAGCTAACAGCCATTGTCTGGTCAGCCGGCAGTCACTTAGGCTTTTATATTTATAGATCTGTTCCAAATGACCAAAGCATGATGTATTCAGACCAATGCATGTAAACAGACCAATGGCTTCAAATGAAGAGAGTTCAAATGTGACTGCAGAGTCCACATTCTACACAAACTTTGACAAATTGCCATTTGTCAGATGTCTGAATATCAAAAAACAATACAGCCGAAACAAGTTTGGCTTAATGGATAGAGCGTCGGCTTGGAGACTGAAAGGTCCCGGGTTCGATCCCGGTCAAGGGCATGTACCTTGGTTGCGGGCACATTCCCAGTAGGGGGTGTGCAAGAGGCAGCTGATTGATGACTCTCTCTCATCGATGTTTCTAACTCTCTATCTCTCTCCCTTCCTCTCTGTAAAAATCAATAAAATATATTTTTAAAAAAACAAAAAAAAATTTTCTGAAAAAGTTATTAAGACTCATGTTTCTCCTTTTCCTATTACATATTTGTGTAAGGTCTGACTTTCTTCATACACTTCAATAACAACAGACTGACAACAGAACCAGATAAGGCATTCAACCACCTCATATTTAATAAAAGTCAGACATTAAAGAGATTTGCAAAAATGTAAAACAATGCCACATGTCTCAATGTTTTTATTTGAAAGATACTGTATTTTTCATAAAAATATGCTAACATGCAACTACTTTATTATTTTAAATAAATTGAGTATTTAAAATTTCTCATATTAATTTCTAACCCTGCAAATATCAATAGACATAACCAACATAAGTACATTTTTTTGGGGGGGAGGGATCCTCTTTTAAGAGTGTGAAGGAGTCTAAGATAAAAATTGTGGGGTCCACTGGTGAAGGCCAACATTTGGCAAAATTTTTCTGAAAAGGGTGAGAGAGGGTAAATGTTCCAGGCTGTGTGGTCCCAGAGCTACCGGGCAACTAGCAGTGCGCTTCTTCATGTTAACCAAGGATCACTCGCTGGGTTTACCGGAAGACAATGCACATATTAGAGATACCAGGTCTAGTTTATTCAACAAATATTTATTGAACTCCAGCCACATACCGGAGATAACTGCTCAATTCTGAGATAACTGCTCAATTCTGCCACTGCAGCACTCAGGCAGCCACACACAACACAGAAACAACGGGCATGGCGATATTCCAATAAAACTTTGTTTACAGAAATGGCCAAGTTGGATTTGCCATGCAGGCAGGTCATAGTGGCTGAATCCTAACGTGGACACTGCCTCTAAGTCAGTGATCCGAGAAGTCAGACCATCTTACTCCCCTGGACATTTCCAGTGGTCGCCTCTCACTCTATGTCTTTGAAATCGCTTGTCTCAGGGCTGTTCCCTCTGCCAGGAATGCTCTCCCTCAGCTCATTCCCTCGCCTCCTTCAGGTCTGCTCCACGCAGCTTCTCAGTGAAACCTTACCTGACACCCTATTTAGAACTGCCTCCTTTCTCCCTCTTCCCTGTCTTTACTTCTATCCAGAGCCCTACTACTTCCTAATTTACTATGTGATTTCTTCACTACTTTCACTTTTTGTCTGTCTTTACCAACCAGAAAGTCAGGTCCTTGAGTGAAGTTTTGCTTTGTATTGTTCAACACACTATTCATGGCATCTAAAAACAGTGCCCGGTATGTGGCTGGAGTTCAATAAATATTTGTTGAATAAACTAGACCTGGTATCTCTAATATGTGCATTGTCTTCCGGTAAACCCAGCGAGTGATCCTTGGTTAACATGAAGAAGCGCACTGCTAGTTGCCGGGTAGCTTTGAGCTCTGAGCCCCTCCACCGGTGGGGAACGTCCAGCTCAAGGGCCATAAAAGGCCTGAGAAATCTACTGGTCTGGCCCTGCCAAGGCATTAGGAGTGAGTTAATTAAATGTTTGACCAACTATAGCAGGCTAATTTTTAGGTTGATAATTTTGTATGGCCCGAGAATAATGTTATAAATATCCAAATGGCCCTCGGCAGAAAAAAGGTTCCCCATCCCAGTGTTTAGCATGATCATTTACAACATTTACAATGTGGATGAGTAAGCTTAATTACTTAAGAAGAATTAATAAAATGAATCTCACCTTTAAGTCGTATTTCCTATATACAGATAAACGGTGGCTGAACACATTTCTTGTAACAATCACATATATTTCAACTCCATCAACATTAAGCCGGTACATGCCCAAGAATTGGGGAAGAAGGGTAATTCCATGACATTCCACTATATACTGCATAGGAGAGAAAGAAAAAGAAAAAAAAAATTATCCAATCAAAAGATGGTCTTTCAGATGTAAAATGTAATTCTTCTGCCTCTGGTTGTTTATACAAAGTGACCCTCCAATGATGAAGGTCCTATTTATAGAAAATAACCATGTTTATACTGCTTAATACAGGATCTGTCATACACACACACACACACACACACACACACACACACACTCTAGAGGTTTGGTGCACAAAATTCATACAAGGGGAATGGTTCTCTCAGCCTGGCCTGCACCCTTTCTCAATCTGGGATCCCTCGGGAGATGTCCCTCTTGCAATCCGGGACATCTGGCTCCCAACTGCTTGCCTGCCTGCCTGCCTAATTGCCCCAACCCCTCTGCCTGCCTGCCTCATCACCCCTAACTTCTTGCCTGCCTGCCTGCCTGGATGCCCCTTACTGCCTCTGCCTCAGCCCCACTGCCATTACTTCATCCAGAAGGATGTCCAGAATGACATCTAAAAGGTTGTTTGGCTCTCTAGTCTAATTAGCATATTTTATTATTGCAGATATATATATGAAAATTTCAACTTTATGTCCAAAGACATATTTTTCCCCCTAACATTTATACTAGTTTGTAAAGTTAAAACTTGGATATAACAGTGATTGGTTCTTTCTGTGAGAACTTTAAAGTGAAATAAATTTCACTCTTCTGGGGGCTTCCATCTTCCTTCCCCAAAGCCCTGATAATGACTTATGGGTCATCTTTGCTTTTTTCCTTTTTATAATTATATTCCTTAAATTTATCTCTTTTTAATGAACATTTTAAGAATTAGAATGCCCTTTCAAACTTTCTAGTGCTAAACACTGTCTTGATAATATTAACCATCTTAAGAAGTGTTATTGTTTTGTTTTGTTTTAGTCTTAGTTTTTATTATTAAAGAAAAGATGAACAGCATCAGCATGGCTAGATTTTTGCCACCTAGAGTTTGGCACATTTTAGAGATACTCCTACCCTTTTTCTTTTTTTAATCTTACTAACCATAATTGAGCTACATTTAAACGTTTTTTTTCCTTTTTATTGGATTTATCAGGGTGATACTGCTTAACAAAATTATGCAGGTTTCAGGTCCACAATTCTACAGCACATCGTCTGTACACTCTATGGTGTGTTCACCACCTCAAGTCAAGTCTCCCTCTGTCACCATTTATACCCCCATTCCCTCCTCTACCTCCCCCACCCCGCCTCCCCCAGCAATCCTTACACTGCTGACTGTGCCCATGAGTTTTTTCCTCTCTCTTTTTTCTTGAGCTACATATTTTAATTTGATATATTTTCTGAGTACTTTCATCTCAAGTTGTTCTTAATTTGAAGTCAGATCAGTGGAACATTTTCCATTGTTAACTTCAGTTTTGTTAACACAAAATAGGTGGTAAAGAGGTCCTGCTGAGAGGAAATGCCTCCACTCTGCTCTAAGAACTCAGCAGGCTGTGGCCCCTCAGCTCTGAGGGAGATGGCTGGATGGGCCTTAGGAGCATGGAGACCCGGGAGCCTCCGTCGTGCTGCATTGCATGGTGAGCCCAGCGTTAAGAACGCAGGCTTGTGGGCCAGAGAGATGTGCACGTGTCCTGGTGCCTCCATTTGCCAGCTGTGGATCTCGGGCAAGTTACTAAATCACTCATCACTGTAGTTTCATTTTCTGGAAAGTGGACACCATAATCTTTACTTCGAGGTTACTGTGAGGGTTACAGATAATAGTGTGTCAAACTATGCCACTCAATGCCTATACTCTACTATATCAATGACTCTACTATATTCTTCCTCTTACTGCAGATGGCAATGCTAACTATTGTTTTTATTCAAAACTCTGGTAAGGAACTTTAGTGCTATACCTACTTGTTGCTTTATGCTCCAAGCTGACTCACAGACAGGTACTTGTGTCTACTCTGAGGGAAACCCTGTATAGTGTTTTGGGCCCACACCAGATTCAGTTTGGCCACTTAACCCTGCTTTGTGCTCTTCTGCTCAGATTATTCTCATCAGGGCCTATCTTTGAAAAGTCCTGCCTTTGGTCAAATCTCTGTACAGATTCAGAGTGCATACTAACCATAATTCCTGTGGATGAGTATGTTAAAGAGGCCTTCTGAATGCTATACAGGAAATCACTGAAAAGCTTTCCCCCTCCCCCCAAGGAAAAATACAGATTACATTCTACAACTCCTCTACCTTTTAAGATTAAATAAATTACTACATATAAAAAAAAATACACAAATCTGAACTACTGTGTCAGCAAATTTCTACGTGTACTCATTCTCAAAGGCATGGCTCATTTATGAGACTTTGATGACCACCTTGAAAAAAAAATAGATTTAATAACCTTGTAACTCCTGGGTATATAAATACGTACAAAGCCACAAACCATATCAAAGCCTACCATACTAGATTCCACCTACTACAAGCTGTAGTTGGTGCCAAAGGTTTAGTAAACATTTACAGGTCAAAATGTTACAGAAGAAAACTCTGCCCAGCGATTGAATTTCTGGGTGGGGGCCCTGGGAAAAGGGTGCACTTTCATGGCAGTGAGGCAATTCCATTGGGTCTGTGAACATCAGGGGTACAGGGGACACTGGATGACATGTCCTTGCAGGTGGTTGTTGATACAAAGGGGCCTGAATGTTAATCCTCTCAGATTCTCCCACAGCTGACCCAGGAAATGCCGTGCACAAACCCTAAGTCCATAAGAATTTCCACAAGAAGGGAGTTGGAAGCAACTCTGCAACCAGGGAGGTGTGAGATTCACGGCCACAGCTGTAGCTGGGCTCTCGACATGACTCAGCCACATTGTGCTGCAGGGAGCTCTCTGGGTCCACAGTCACAGGCTGTGTGACCTTGGCGACTCAGTCAACCTCCCGTGTCTCCGTATTTGTAGGAGAAGGGTGATAACAGTACTGGGTATCTAGGGTTCTTGTAAAGAACATGAAGAGCAAATGAGACGGGGGGACTGCCGATGACTCAAGAAGGAGCAAGATGAAGCCAAGGCCCAGGCGTGAGGGGGGAGAAAGAAAGGAGCGAGGAAGGAAGGCTGCCGAGGACACCCTACACATTCCTGAAACGCTCTCTGAGAAATGGATTCCATTTTAAATGCAAATGTAAACTCCCAGTTTCAAGGACTCTCTTAAAACAAAGACTTTTCAAAAATGAATAATGTTGCCTAGTATGTATTTGTTTATAAAGGGAGGCAATCTTTTGTAAATGTTATAAAAACATTGAAAAATCATATTTCTCACTCTTGTTGCTTTTAGGATCAAAACTCTGAGCACTTTCCCTTCAATAACTTAAACACTATTAATTCACTAATTAACTTGTAAATAAATGCTTCAAAAATAATAAAGTGGAATTAGTGGTCTAGTCTCTGGTCAATTATGATATAGGATGGCTTCTGTTTTGTTCAAAGTGCTCTCAATGTTGGCAACGTTTTGTCTGTAACCTGTGTTCCAACACTACCGATTTTCACTTCTTTCTGTCTTTTCAAAAATTTATGTGTAAATGATTTCATGTGTCATCAATAAATGCAAATTCAATCTCTTCATGAATCTTCCTGACTCCTTTTTCCTGTATAACCATGACTTGTTAGAACTGTAATTAAATGGTAAACGGATGTGGTGAAATCAGAATTAAAAAAGAAAAGATAAAATACAACAGTCACAAGATCTGTTTCCTTTGTAGGCACTGAACAAGAATAACAAATATTATGAATCCCCAATTTGTTGCTCTTCTCATGCAAAATGAAAAGCCATTAAAAGATTCACAGCTGACTGAAGATTTCAGCAGAGAGGACTCTAAGTGATGTACTGCATCAGATAAATATTTATATCTCCACATGACAGTGTGAACCTGGGCTCTGGCTTTTGGAAATTGCTGTTATTATCATGTTTCACTCAGTTTTTAGGGGCTTGAAGTGACAATTTAATATAGCATTGAATTAATACTTCAATGTAAAATCTTGTTTCACTTAAGAGTTTTTGAAGAGTTAAATAATCTCTAATCCTTATTGTGTTTGGCTATGTTTATACATCACTACAGCATGCTTTACATGAAATAAAAGAAAGGAAGGAAGGAAAGAAGGAAGAAAAGAAGGAAGGAAAGAAAGAAAAAAGCAAATCAGCTAGCCTGAAATTAAGGATTGCTTTGTTTTAGAATGACCAAATAAATAAATAACCCAAATTTCATAAAGTTTTTAAAAATATATATATTTTATTGATCTTTTCTACAGAGAGGAAGGGAGAAAGATAGAGAGCTAGAAGCGTCGATGAGAGAGAAACATTGACCAGCTGCCTCCTGCACACCCCCTACAGGGGATGTGCCCGCAACCAACGTACATGCCCTTGACCGGAATCGAACTTGGGACCTTTCAGTCCGCAGACCGACGCTCTACCATTGAGCCAAACCGGTTTTGGCTAAATAACCCAAATTTTATTTGAATTGATATTTTTGGGATAATGGTTTGTAAGTATCAGTTAATAAAATTTATTTTGACTTCAAATAATTTCGAAGTAAAAAACAAGAGGTAAAGCCGAAACCGGTTTGGCTCAGTGGTTGAGCGTCGGTCTGCGGACTGAAAGGTCCCAGGTTCGATTCCGGTCAGGGGCATGTACATTGGTTGCGGGCACATCCTTGGCAGGGGGTGTGTAAGAGGCAGCTAGTAGATGTTTCTCTCTCATCGATATTTCTAGCTCTCTATCTCTCTCCCTTCCTCTCTGTAAAAAATCAATAAAATATATAAAAAAAAAAGAAAAAAAAGCAGTAAAGCTGAAACCGGTTTGGCTCAGTGGCAGAGCATCGGCCTGCAGACTGAAGGGTCCCAGGCTCGATTCCGGTCAAGAGCATGTATCTTGGTTGCGGGCACATCCCTAGTAAGGAGTATGCAAGAGGCAGCTGATCAATGATTCTCTCTCATCGATGTTTCTAGCTCTCTATCCCTCTCTTCCTCTCTGTAAAAAAAATCAATAAAATATATATTTTTT